ATTCTGCGCAGTGCTTTACATACACCCCATTCATATCACTCCCTGCCCCAAGGAGCTTACAATCTAAGGTCCCCATCCCATATGCATACATACAGGGCCAATCTAGACAGGAGCCAATGAATCCACCAGCATGTCTCCTGAGTGTGGGAGGAAGCCGGCATACCAAGAGGGTATGGCTGGAATTAGAAATGAGGACACCAAGTGCTGCAAGGCAGAAGTGCTAACCACTACGCCAGGGGTAGGGACCTCAGCACTCCAGCTGTGGTGAAACTACAAATCCCATGTGGCATTGCACGACTCCGCCCAGAAGCAAAGCAAACATTTCCCAGCACACTCACCAGCCGGCCTGCGAACCCCCCCCCCAAATAAATAAATAAATGACTGTCCAAGTTTTAGGGTTAAATACAGAGGTTTTAGTTGCATCACTTTTGCAAAATATGTGGAAGCCGCACTGCCTGGTCAAGGCCCTCTCTATAAGAGCCGCCATCTTGGAGCATATAGAGCAAAGGAAGAATTGGGTGCAGGTTTGCCAGGAGGCAGCCCAATCCTCCTTAAAGACACAGGCACACACCAAACTCCTCTGTTTTTAACCTGCTAGTTATACAGAGTGATTTGGTTTATTTTTGCATGCCGGTTGATGAGTGTGCTGGGAAATATTTACAGTTCCTGGGATTTGCTCCACGTTCCAATGGAGCCGTAGTTTACAGAGCGGGGCTTCGGGATATGAGGGAGCACATGACCTTGGATTCAGGTGTTCCGTGACATTTCCCGGCTACTAAATATTCCGCGGTCACCTGTTACTGGGATTATAACAAAGTGGAAGCAACTGGGAACAACAGCAACTCAGCCAGGAAGTGGTCGGCCACGTCACATGACAGAGCGGGGTCAGCGCATGCTGAAGCGCACAGTGCGCAGAAGTCGCCAACTGTCTGCAGAGTCAATAGCTACAGACCTCCAAACTCCATGTGGCCTTCAGATTGGCACAACAACAGTGCGTAGAGAGCTTCATGGAATGGGTTTCCATGGCCGAGCAGCTGCATCCAAGCCTTACATCACCAAGTGCAATGCAAAGCGTCGGATGCAGTGGTGTAAAGCACGCCGCCACTGGACTCTAGAGAAGTGGAGACGTGTTCTCTGGAGTGACGAATCACGCTTCTCTGTCTGGCAATCCGATGGACGTGTCTGGGTTTGGTGGTTGCCAGGAGAACGGTACTTGCCTGACTGCATTGTGCCAAGTGTAAAGTTTGGTGGGAGAGGGGATTATGGGGGGGGTTGTTTTTCAGGGGTTGGGCTCGGCCCCTTAGTTCCAGTGAAGGGAACTCTTAAGGCATCAGCACACCAAGACTTTTTGGACAATTTCATGCTCCCAACTTTGTGGGAAGAGTTTGGGGACGGTCCCTTCCTGTTCCAAAATGACTGCTCACCAGTGCACAAAGCAAGGTCCATAAAGACATGGAGGGGGGAGTTTGGGGGGGAGGAACTTGACTGGCCGCACAGAGTCCTGACCTCAACCCCATAGAACACCTTTGGGATGAATTAGAGCGGAGACTGCGACCCCGGCCTTCTCCCCCAACATCAGTACCTGACCTCACAAATGGTCCAACATCCCCATAGACGCACTCCTAAACCTTGTGGACGCCTTCCCAGAAGAGGCGGAGCTGTTATAGCGGCAAAGGGCGGAGCCAACCCAATACTGAACCCTACGGACTAAGACTGGGGCGCCAGTAAAGTTCATGTGCGTGTAAAGGCGTCCCAATACTTTTGGCAATATAGTGTATCTCCAGATGCCGTCACACTGCCCTGACATTAGTAATACATTCATTAAAGGGGTTCTAAACCCTCCCGGTTTTTTGCCTATATCTACTGCTATCAAGCAGTAGATATAGGCAAACAGTTTAAAAAAAAACAAAAACCGCTAAAACAGCGGTTTAACTTACCTTTTTTTCTTTGCGCGCTCCCGCGCCGAGAATCAGGAACTGCTCGTACGGCCGCAAAGGATCTTGGGGCGGGCGCATGCGCAGTTCCGATTCTCGGCCGGGAGACGAGCACAGAGGAGTCAGCGCTGGATCGGAGGGACAGAGGAGTCAGCGCTGGATCGGAGGGACAGAGGAGTCAGCGTTGGATCGGAGGGACAGAGGAGTCAGCGTTGGATCAGTGCCATTGACTTCAATGCACCACCACGCCCCCTCCAATTAGGGTTGCCACCTGTCCAGGATTCACCCGGACAGTCCGGGTTTTGAATGCTGTGTCCGGGTTTCATGGCAGCTGAAACCCGGACACATGATGTCAGGCAGACAGGGGCAACCAAAATTAAGATAGGGGCTAATGGCCCCCCACTAAAAATAGTCTTGACAGTGATATTTACAAGAGAATGGGTGACTCTATGTACATATGAGTAAGCCATAATCCCCCCCCCCTAATGGCCCCCCCCAAAAAAAAATTTCAGTGTATCACTAGAGTGTTCGGGTTTCGCTGGAAGAAAAGGTGGCAACCCTACCTCCAATCCCAGAAAGCAGTGAGCCGGCCAGGATGCGATCCACTGCGTTGCGGCACCGGTGGGAACTAGCCCTTAGACCAATCATCTCAACCTCAATGTACAGAAGTCACGTAGGCAATAAACTCAAAATCCAATAATAGGTCAAATCACACTTCTTCCCACCCTTCCCAATGAGGAAATATGAAAAAGGAAATGAAAAACAAACATAAGAGCAAGGCAAGCAAGCAAAGAAGAAACAAAAACTGAAAGATCTGCCAAGGCATGTGCCAAGGAGCCAGCCCCACAAGCCACTCATGAAAAGGGTCGGCCAAAAATGAATCAAAGGCCAATACCCATCATACGTAATATTGTTTTTTATTGGAATAATAAATGTTTATTAAGAGTTTAGTACAGGTAACATAAAAGACAGGCAGACATAGGGATCAGCGCAGTTTCGGAGCATGCAGTCGCAGTCCCGCATGAGACATATCCCTCTTAGAAGGGAGGTGATCTAGCAGGCGCCTGACCTCTCCCCCAGAGCCATCCAGGGTAAATTCCTCATCAGAGGAGACCTCCGGGTCCGCCAGGACGGGAGACATGTCGGCTGGCTGGGAGGATGGTGAGTCAGGAGCAGCAGGGGATTCCCCACGTGTAGCCGGCATGCGGCCCGCAGAGCCGGCAGATCGCGTGTTCACTGGAAGAAGCTGCCGATGCTGGCTCTTGGGGTCCGGTCTGGTGCCCTGGGATTTCTTACCCCTCTTGGAGCCCATGGCAAGTGGTGATGGGGCACTTCAGCAGCGTTGCCCGGTCCTGGATTGCGGAGCTAAGGACTACCACGTCCGGCTGCCACCATTGATCCCACCATACGTAATATAATCTGAGAGGCCTCAACAGATGAAGAAGCATAGTACACACAATTCCATACGGATAGAGTCTAAGGTAAGCAGGATGGAAGTGTCAATTCCCTGAAGGCCGGGGTCTCCATATACAGGATCCAAGGCGTCCACACTGCATGGAATCATTCTAGTGAATCATAGACATTCCTTCTGAACCCAGTCTGTCAGCTTCAGGACACTGGTGGTCCCCCACTGTCTGGGGATCAGAAATCTGAGAATATGAACCAGGAAGAGTAGAAAGGAGGGCTACCTGGGGGATTCATCCACTGTGCCACTGGTTACCTAACGGTGCGGTGTATCGTTCTTGTGAATCATAGACGTTCCTCCTGAACCCAGTCTGTCAGCTTCAGGACACTGGTGGTCCCCCGCTGTCTGGGGATGAGGGTCCTAGCTGCCGCCAGAAAAAAATCTCAATAAATCTTTAGAGATCTGAGAATATGAACTAGGAAGAGTAGAAAGGAGGGCTACCTGGGGGATTCATCCACTGTGCCACTGGTTACCTAATGGTACACCGCAAAGACCATCTTCCAAAACCGGCGGATAGGTAGACAGGACCACCAGACACCCAGAGAACCGAGGAACCACATCTCCAACAAGCAGGATCAACAGCAGGAAAGATACGATGTGATGCCTTTGGGCAGGCATACCACCTGGATAACAATTTAAATCCCTTCTCCTGTGTCCCGGCAGCCCTAGTCATCTTATGGGGAACAACAAAAGCCATTATCCACCTCATCCCAAGTAAGTGTCATCCCCAACTCAGATTCCCAAACCCTAATAATACAATATTTCTTTCATGTGTTGGAGGGTTGGGGGGTGTTTGGAAGTTTAATGTGGTTTGTAGACCTGGGTGCCATCCTTCAGTCTGTAGTTGGGGTATAATGTCTGTAATTCATATTACGTTCCTTGTGTTTGCAGTAGATGAAAGCTGAGAGATTAGCTCACCCCTCCCTATACGGAAGAATGTGACTTGACCTCTGCTCTCTTTCAGTTTCGTTTCTCTCTTCTGCGATGGCGTCTGCTGATCTGAGACAGGAGCTGGACTGTTCCGTCTGTCTGAGCATTTATATATATCCTGTAATGCTGAGATGTGGACACAACTTCTGCCGGGTCTGTATTGATCGTGTGTTGGATAAACAGAAGGGGTCTGGAGGTTATTCATGTCCTGAGTGCAGAGAAGAGTTCCAGGATCGGCCTGCACTGCACAGGAACATATTACTGCGTAACATAGCAGAGACATTCCGGTCTACTCAGCCAGATAAGGAGGACTCCGGGGTCCTCTGTACTCAGTGTATTCACACCTCTGTACCTGCTGTGAAGTCCTGTCTTCTATGTGAAGCTTCTCTGTGTGACAAACACCTGAGAGTCCACAGCAAGGCACCAGAACACGTCTTATGTGACCCCACCACTTCCCTGGAGAACAGGAAATGCTCCGTCCATAAGAAGATCCTGGAGTATTACTGCACTGAGGACTCGGCCTGTATCTGTGTGTCCTGCAGGCTGGATGGGGAACACCAGGGACACAAGGTGGAGACTCTGGATGAGGCCTCCGGGAAGAAGAAGAAGAAACTGAGAACTTTTTTTCAGAAACTGAACACAGAGAGAGAGAAGACGGAGAAAAGAGTCCGGAGTCTGGAGGAACGCAGGAGGAAAGTACAAGGAAACGCAGCTGGTGTAACAGAGAGAGTCTCTGACCTGTTCAGAGACCTCCGGAGACGTCTGGAAGACCTGGAGAAGAGAGTCCTGAGGGAGATCTCCAGGCAGGAAGAGCAACTCTCACATCAATTGTCTGACCTGATCCAGAAGCTGGAAATAAAGAAGGCCGAGCTGTCCAGGAAGATGGATCACATTGAGGAGATGTGTAACCTGACTGATCCACTGACTGTCCTACAGGAATCAGACACAGGGGACTTGTGTGATACTGAGGAGGGGGATGAGGAGGACAGAGACATGATAAACTTCTCCATGATGGAGGGGGTCTGGATGTGGCTGGAATCTCACACACATTACACTCGGGGTTATCTGATATGATGAAAGGGGTAAATGTATGCTTCATTATACAGGAAGCTTCAGATATAGTGCTGGATGTAAACACAGCTTATAATAATCTACAGATATCAGAGGACAGGAAATCTCTATCCAGGTCAGATATAAAGCAGAATCGTCCAGAAACACCAGAGAGATTTCGGAATTCTGCTCAGCTATTAAGCAGCAGGAGATTCTCCTCAGGGAGACATTACTGGGAAGTGGATGTCAGTAGATCGGATCAGTGGATAGTCGGTATGTGTTATCCCAGTATAGAGAGGGGAGGATACCAGTCATGGATTGGACACAATGACAAGTCCTGGGGTTTATACAGCAATACAAACCAGTGTTCCATAACCGCAAAGAGATTAAGTTACCTGACAAAATCTCCAGTAACAGAGTCAGGGTCTCTCTGGATTATGAGGCCGGGCGGATCTCCTTTTATGATCTGTGTGACCCGATCCGACACTTACACACGTTCACCACCACCTTCACTGAGCCCCTCCATGCTGTGTTATGGGTGGGGAAAGGTTGTATAAAGATATCTGGGCAGGGTCAGGACATTGCAGGAAGTCAGCCCAGAGACGTTGTATAGGTTAGAGAACAGAATCCATTGGTTTGTGCAGCCGGTGAGTGTTGCTACAATAGTCCCTTTATTTGTGTGGTTATACATTCGGACAGATTTCAGCTATTAATGCAAAACGTTTATTTTTGGGACCATTAGACATAAAGAGCACAAAGATTTTGAAATACAAAGAGTATCTGTGTCATGAGGCAACCAATTCAAACCTGCGCCAGCAAACGAAAGTTGAAAAAATGAACATTTCAATCTGATGATGTATTTGTTGAGTGATGACACAGATAATTCTTATTTTACACATCTGACTTCCTGTCCGGTAGTCCCATAGAACCGTGTTTCTCAACAGGTGGGCCATGACCCAAAAGTGGGTGCCCTGTGATCAGTGGGTCCCCGCGTGTCTTCCATTGCACTAGGTGAGAAGCTCCAGTTCTCATATGTAGGGTGCATGTGTGCGTGAGATTGTGTTTGTGGTTGTGTGTGTCTGTCAGTGTTATTGAGGACCTGTTCACACTAATACAGTGCGGTAATCACACAGTCCCCTGCGATCAACGCACTGTACCACACAATCGCACCTACAGTGTGTTCTTGTACGGGAGGTGCCTTGTGTTGCTATTCATTTGAATGGCGACCCAAACGCACCTCCGGCTCACAGTTCGATCCACACCATACCCCTATGCCAAACGTTCCAGCACGGTGTGACTTGGGTCGTGAATTAATGACCAAGGACAAATGTGGGTCCTGAGGTTACACAGGTTGAGAACCACTGCCCTAGAATATCACTGTCCAGGCTGTACGCAGGTCTTTGACTTTTGGCCAAGTCAGCATTAAGCCCTACCTCTTCTTGGCACCAACACCCGCCCCGTTTCCAGTGCTAAGCCCCCATGACCTGCCAGTTATGGTCATAGAGCTGCCATCTTGTATCTGTCAGGTTTGGAGTTCAGGCCAGTTGAGCTCGGTACACACGTTCAGAATTTATTCAGAACTTTCGGAATGTCCCTTCAATTTTCTAACAGTTAATGGGGTCAGATTGGCCATCGATTGAAGGGAAATCAGGGGAGCAGGATGGAGGATGAACAAAATTGGGACAGTGAATGTGGTTTTTGTTCTGGAAATGCCATTCATTTCCAAAAATCAAATGTTACAACAAAAGGAAACTTCACTTCTGATGGCAATATCAAGTGTTCGGATGACATTGTTTGTATGAAAGATCATATAGAAATCTACCAAAGTACAGCCAGCTTCAGCACCCCTCTGGAGGCAGGGGGAGGGTGATGCCTTTATCCAGGACAGTGGTTCTCAACTTGTGTAACCTCAGGACCCACATTTGTCCTTGGTCATTAAGCCGCGACCCAAACCGCACCACCCTGGAACGCACTGCATTGCGTTACTTCATGTTCCAGTGCAAGCGATCATACTGTGGGCGGGAGGTGTTTTTGGGGTGGCATTCAAATGAATGGCAACGCAACGCACCTCCCGCACCAGAACGAACAGTAGTTGCAATTGCGTGGTAGTTTGTGAATAAAACACTGACAGACACACACACAGCCACAGACACAATCTCACACATTGATAATCCCCCCAAAAATGTAGGGGTTCAGTGCTGGGCTGCTGTACTGTGACAGAGCTCCATCCATAGGTGCATTGCTTGTACAGTGAACCAAACTAACTTGCGCTAACGGAAATAGTAAAACTAAATTAAGATGGATTAAAATTTAAAATAGATATTAATATGACCCCGGAGCTAAAATTTCTAAAACCAAAAAGGAAAAAAGCTGCTGAACTCAGGCTAAAAGCCTACAGAATAATGGTGTAATGAAGTGTACAGCGCTAAATGCCCTTCAGGAAATTAGATAACGGTAGGGATCATATGGTGTCACCTCCGTGTCAAGCAATCGTGAAACAGTGTATATATAATAAATATTTGTGTAAAAACTTATAGTACGTTATAAAATGTGTCAGCAGGTGTCATAAAAGGCGTGTCATACATGAACCTTATTAAATAAATAAACAAAAATCTTCAAAGAACATGTGTCATATATGTGAAAAAAATATTAATGTGAAAACAATATTAAATAAATAAATAAACATGTGTCATATATGTGAAAAATAAATATATCACAATCTAAAACAGTCTGTGTTGTTTTCTTTTGAAAATAAGTAGAAGTATGCACTTATAATATAAAAAATGCACCCAAAGTTCTTAAAGCTCTCCGATCTTCAAAACAAAAAAAAAGCCCAGAAGAATGAGAATCAAAATCAAAATCAAAAGAAATGTCCAATATTATGAAGTGTCCAACGAAAAAACGATAGAAAAAAAAAAAAAAGCAGGCAGGTCCCCTATAGGGAATGCACTCACCAGATCCCTGATGGTCGAAAGCCTTTATTCTTATCCAATGGAGGCCGAAGATGTATGTCCACGCAAGGGAGCTGTAAGCAATGCATGTATAGTTGGAGCTCCCTCACAGCCATACCCCCAGCCCACCCCACCTCAAGCTGACACTTGGCACAAGGCAGCATATTTTGAATGGCTACTTGGCACGAGAACTGACACTGGGGGAGGCTTTGGAGCCTCTCACCTAGCGCACTAGAAGGCATGAGGCGACCCACCAGTTGAGAACCATGGATGATCTATTGCAGACTACGGTCCCAAGACCAAACTGCTTTTGGGATTGGCATTCCATTCAAAACCATATCAGTATAAAGGGTAACATGCATACAGGTACATGAAGCAATACATCTACACCAAGGTGCAGTATATCACACTATGTATCGGGAATATGATTTGATTTGAAAATATGCTGGATATAAAGTTATTGAGAAATGTTTAGTAATGACAATCTACAAACACATACTTCTAGATACTTCCTCCCCGTTCTTCTCACAGCGGCCATTTTTACTAAGGGCAGATTAATCCATCTCCCTTTACTTCCTGGAACTCTGGCACATGTGACTAGGTCATGTGACCACACACATCATCTCAGGGGAGGAAAATGCCTTTCCCTGAGATCTCCTGAGATTACAGATGAGATTTCCCAGCATTGCTCTGCTGATGTCACCTTCCCAGAATGCAACGCTTGGCCACATTACCACACTAAGGCCCAAGAGGACCAGGAAGTGTAAAACCAATAATTGTAAGTGAATAAAAAATATGTTTGTTTAACTAATGAATGTCAGATGATCTGATATCAGCACGCAGAGCTGCATGCTGAGGTGATTGTTAGTGAAAGGGGGTAAAGGTTTACTATAAGACAAATATATATACATATATCACACTATCCACAATCTATGGAATCCAATTAGAAAATGTGTGAATCATTCAGGTGAAAGTTGTGTGAATCTAGGGTGAGGAATTTATAAATAGAGTGTAAAAACATAAATGAATGTTTACTTTCTAGTTGTATTTTAGATAAGATGAGCGAAAAAGATCTTTATAGGAAATATGATAATAAATTAAATGAAATAGAATATAAACATCACATATGGTGGGGGGTTACACATGTGTATATACAGTATATATATTTGGTGGTTTCTGTATTTGTGTATTTGGTGTAACTACTAAAATATAATAATAAAAATGTGAGAAGAGACATCTGACCATTTCTATATTTCTTAGTTGCCGGGGAGGGCACAAAGGGGGCAAATCTGCTACAGAATACTATTACAGGCACTGGGGGGCCTCAGCTGCCATTATGATGTGCGAGGTCCCTTGTGTGTCTGTGCCTTTAAGGAGGATTGGGCTGCCTCCTGGTGAACCTGCACCCAATTAATCCTTTCCTATATACGCTCCAAGATGGCGGCTCTCATAGATTAGAATTAGGAACACACTACACAGAGGGGCCATGACCAGGCAGTGTGGCTTCCATTTTCCAGGCTGGATGCTGAGTGTGCTGAGAATTTTTCGTACTGTGTGAAACCCCCTCCATGTGTCCGTCGCTTTAAAACTGGTTATGAATTGATGAGCGCGTTTGCCATTTGTATTGTCTGCCCAGAGGCAGATACATGATTTGTAGTTTCACCATAGCTGAAGTGCCAAGGTTGCGGCCCCCCTATCACCCATGTGCTTTTAAAAAAAAAAAACTATTTATAATCAACATGAGGTCTGTGGTGACGGTCATGTACATGTCTCTCTGGGGCGGCTTTGCTGGTTCTTTCTGCTTTGTCTTTCAGGTTACAAGCTGCCTGCTGTTGCTAGGAAGATTTACCTCAGTTGCTGGACAGACCTACAGTCAGCTGAGCACAGGATTGGCGGGAAAACAGCTGACCAATGAGTGTAACCTTTCCCCTCTATAGTCACTCCTGTCAGTGGGCGGGGTCAGCAGTTACCTCAGGACTGCCAGCTGGACTCACCTCTGGATTAGCTTCAGAATTCCTTTTGGATCTTTCCAACTGCTCACAGCCCGGAATGGATCATTGACTTCAGTGTGACTTC